CAATCAGAAAAGAGGAAAAAATAAAAGGCATTCAAATAGGAAAAGAAGAAGTGAAACTCTCTCTATTCACAGATGACATGATTGTATACATAGAATTCCCAATGGTTTTCATGAAAGAATTCCTGGAAGTAACACATGAATACAATAAAGTTGCAAGATACAAAATCAAGACACAGAAATCTAAAGGAGGAATGTGGGTTCCTGGACACTAGATTGCAAAACTCAAAACCTCTGATCTTGTTTTTCCTCACCTAAAAGAGATTAAAAATGCTTGCTCAGCCCACCTCGGGAAGAGAAGTAACTAATACAAGAATTATTATATAAATAACATAATAAAATAGTTTTATTATAGAAATCGATAATTAATAACATAATAATGCAAAATATATTTGGTTAATATATTATTAGTTATGTATTAATATATTTACTATTATAATTATATTGTTATAATAATGTGTTGCAATTTTTATAACATTAATATATTTTAATGGTTATTAATATATTATAATATTAATGACATAATAAAAGTTTTAGTTATACTATCAATAAAATAAAAAATTGTTTTGAAAAATAAACACTAACTTATTTTATTTTATTTTATTTTTTTTGGAGAGGTTTTTGCTATAGGACACTTGTGCTGGGCAGAAAGACAGAGGGAGAGAAAGCAAGAAATCATCCCCCAGGGAGGATGGCCATGATGCAGTCCCTTCTCCTCTATTCTCCTCTTGGGATCCCGGGTACGCACACACACACACACCTGGCGTGAGTTTAAGCCACCAGGTCTGGGAGTCAAACACCAATCGACTACATGGGAGTCCAGTGATGTAGCTATGACGCCATGTGCTGATCCCAGCAACACTAACTTTATAGATATAGCAGTGTTATTGATTTTTTGCCCCAGGTTGTTGGGAGAGGCCTGTATTCAAGCAGTCACATTTTGGAGATCACAAAGTTCATGCTAATAAACCTACTCTATCAAAAAACACTGAAAAGAATCCCAATTGTTCTGTGGATAGAAAACCTTGAGATTCAGAGCAAGTTCAGAATTGGACAGTCTAAAAGTGAAGAGCCCTTTACTCTATTAGAAGAGTCAATCAGCAATTTCTGGTTATGGAACTAGAAATTCTTAGACTCCAAATAAAATAGCATCACTTGTATTCTTTTACAAAATTACAAAAACAAAAGGAAAACTGCTCTACTATACTCTATACTTGCCATATAAGGCAGGAGGCACTTGAGACCTAATGCATATAAAACCAGTGAACGAAACTGTGTTGCACTCTATAAACAAGATATCACTGGGTGAAAGCACTGAGCAAAGCACAGTACCCAGTGTGGTCATTCATCTTATTCCTGGCCCCTTCCATTCCCTTCTATTGGTCCTTGACACATATGGAAGTTACATTTCTGAATTGTGTAATATAACAGAGAACCTGACTTTCAGCAAGGGAGTAGTTCAGAAATTTAGGGAGTTTAGTTTTGAATTAATAAATCAATGGGAACCAGCAGTTAGCATAATGGCTATGTCACTGGATTCTCACGTAGTTGACCGCGGTTCACGTCCCCGACCCGGTGGCTTAAAACTCAGTGTGCGCCCAAGATCCCGAGAGGAGAATGGAGGAGAAGGGATTGCGGCGTGACCATCCCCCCTGGGGGGTGATTTCTTGCTTTCTGTCTCTATGTCTCTGTCTGTCTGGCGAGCGCACACGCCCTATAGCGAAAATCTCTCCAAATAAATAAATAAATAAATAAAATCAAGTAAAGAAATTATATTATTAGTTTAAAAATTTATAATTATTGATTTATAAAATTAAAACTAGAAAGTGAAATAAGTTTTAAAAATTATCATCAAGCAATTCAGACTCACGACAACGTGTGGTGTTTGTCAGACATGAACTGTCACAGTGCAGCTTGACTGTCTTGCATACAACCTCAATATTTTTTTTAAATTGGCAGAGGCAGTGGGCCATATAGCTAGGTAAGATCCTATAAACAGAAATACAGAAAATTAAATTAATGGAGAAGGGGTTACTTGAGTATACAGGAGGCAGGGCAAGGCTGAACAAAAAAGATTCTTTGAGGTGTATGGCCTGGACAGTTGGGGTGGAACTGGCTGGCATCCCTCGCTACATTCTGAGTACTGAAATAAACAGGAAGGACAGAGGTGCCCAACAGAAGAGTAGGCATGGTGTTAGGTTTGGTGTGCCTAGAATAGAGGAGACAGGGACTAGAACTAGGTGACATCAGTCTGTAGTTTAATTCTGAAATGTCTTGCCCCAACTCAAACATCTTTCTATGGGCTGAGACTACATAGGAAGAAGGTACCTTGAACAAACCCCCCAACATTTGGAGTTCCTATGTCAATTCCTGTTAGGAGTATTAAGTATTAGAAATTACTTTGGGCACAAAATGCAGTTTAGAGGCCAGTCCCATAGCCTACTGTTTAAAGGGAGCTGAATACCATGTGGTATTATGGTTTGAATCCCAGCCCTGCCAACTTGAAAAACATGTTGGGAGCATTTGCATGCGTGCCCCACAGTCTTGATGGGATAGAGAAATGGAAGAGAAGGTACTGTACCATGATCGCACCTCACCAGGAGAGTGTTCTCCATCTCTGTCTCTATCTCTCTGGTGAGTGGACATACCTTATGGCACTTAAACAAAAAGGCAGCTTAGTTTAACCTATATACATTGTGTGGTTAAGCAATAAGAGAGATCACTTTGGCCAAATCAGGACAGTTTAGGCATTCAAAAGGATATACATAATTAAAGAAGAAACAATGTGCATTCACTATGATACTCAAAAAGAAAAGAGGGGGGAGATTTTTTTTACTAAAATAATGCCAGCTTATAAAAATAGAGAAAATGATAACAAAGTGTCATTGTGTGACAACTAATGCAATAACTGACTCAGACAAGAATTATCACCCTGCAGATTATTTATTAATTTCCAAGAGAAAAAAATCACTTTACCATAGGAAGATCTGCAAGATAGCACTGTAATCAAGTGATCAGACAGCACTATCATGACCACCTGAAGTCATGAGAGAGGAAAGATAATTGACTATATAGTATTCTTCCCCAAAATATTTAACCTGAGTCTAATCACGAGGAAACGGACAAATACAGATTGCAGGGTCATTTATAAGACAATAGATTTAGAGTCTCCAAAATTACCAAATGTCATGAAAGACTAAAAAAAGATAGGAAAACATTTGGACTGCCAGATCTTTGATTGGCTTCTGGGTCCTAACAAAAAGATTTAAGACTGTTATTGGCATCTAGTCAAGACGGCACAACAGAGACCAAAAAGACAAAAAGATACATGCTTATGAACAGACACTCAGCATCACCAGCTTTAAAACCACAATGAGATACATTAGATACCTACTAGAAAGGCTAAAAAATTTTTAATGTAATATAATGATAAGGCAAAGATATGGCACAACTGTGACACTTAAGCTCCACTAGTGGGAACACAAAATGATATAGTCACTTTAGGAACAGTTTAGCAGTTTCTTAAGAAGTTAAATATGGCAGGTAGTATAGTGGTTAAGACATTTTACTCCCACATGGTCTATTGTGGCTTGTGTCTCAGACCTGGTGGCTTGAAACTCATGCTGGGTGCCTGTGCATGTATGCCCAAAATCCTGAGAGAAGAGAAGAGAAGGGATTGTGGCATGGCCATCTACAATGGGTGGGGGTGATTTCTCACTGTCTCTTTCTGTCTATTTCTGTCTCCCCGGTGAGCACATGCACCCTATAGCAAAAACCCTAAAAAGGTAAATATGCTCTTAACATGTAGAACAACTGTCCCACCCCTTAGTATCTGCCCCAAAGAAATTAAAGGACATGTTTACACAAAGACCTGCATGTAAATGTTTTTAGCAGCTTTATTGTTAATAGCCAAAAAATCCTAGAAATACCTCAAATGTCCATCAACTGATGAATGAATAAACAAACTGGTATATCCACACAATTGGAATATGAAACAGCAATAAAAAGTAATGAACTATTGATAAGCCCAAGGACATGAATGACATCTGAAAACATGTATTCTGAGTGAAAGAAGACACATATAAAAGGCTACATATTACATTATTTCAGTTACTGAAAAACGCAAGACCGTAGGGGTAGAAATCATACTGATGGTTTCCAGGGGCTGGTGGTGAGAGGAGGGATTGACTGCAAAGGGACATGAGTGGTCTTTCCAGGGTGCCAGAAATGTTCTGTATCAGGAATGTAGTGGCTACATGACCTCACATTTGTTAAAACTCAAGGAACTGCACACTTAAAAAGGGAGAATTTTATTATGTGAAAATTACACTTCAATAAATAGGACTTAAAAATACTAAGACAAACTTAATAGACACTGAAATAAAATAAGCCTAAGGAAAAAAATAACTTACAGGTTTTGCAATTCAAGAGTCGTCATGAGGATATTCTCAACTGTGGTAAGTGATACTTGTGTTGTTCCCATGTCTCTGAAGGAAAAAGCCCAACCATCATATAAGCTCCGATATAAAATTTCTTTAGTTAAAATGCATATTTCAAGTGTATTAAACAAACTAGCCCAAAAGTATATTTGCTATAGAAGATAATTTTAGAAAGTTATTATTGGATACATTCATTTATCTATATCATCAATTAATGACCTTGGCACTGAAAAGTAGGACTTAAACCATTTTAAAATTTTTACCATTATGGGGACCAGCAGTTGGCATAATGGCTATGTTGCTGGACTCTCATGTAGTTGACTGTTGTTGGAGTCCCAGACCTGGTGGCTTCAACTCACACTGGGTGCATGTGCATGTGTGGCCCAGATCCCGAGAAGAGAATGGAGAAGGGACTGTAGCGTGGTCATCCCCCCTGGGGGGTGATTTCTCGCTTTCTGTCTCACTGTATCTGTCTTTCTGGTGAGTGCACATGCCCTATAGCAAAAACCACTCAAAAAAATTTTTTTACCATCATCTTATTGCTCATTTTCATATTGTATTCACCTCTTTTCATTACTGATTTTCTTCTTTCTTTTTTTTCTTTTTAAGGTATTTGCTATAGGGAGCATGTGCCAGAGAAAGACAGTGAGAAGGAAAGTGAGAAATCACCCCCAGCAGGGGAAGATGGCCACACTCCAATCCCTTCTCCTCTATTTTCCTCTCAGGATTTTAGGCACACATTCACATGTGCCTGGCATGATTTTCAAGCTATTAGCTTCAGGACTTGAACCATGGTTGCTATGTGGGAATCCTGCATCTTAATTGCTACACCACCTGCCAGCCCCTATTTTTTTTTTTCCTTTAAAAAATAATGTACATCTTATATCTCTTTACTTTTGGGGATAAAATTATATTTTCATAGGAGTTCACATGTTCCTTATCTATATGTGTTCTTCAACAGTGCTCTCTCCCTGTTGGTTGTCTCACTCATGATATATCCTTTTTAAATCCTTTTCTTTGCCAATCACTTTTTAAAAATAAGACTCAGTAAAAATTGAAATTACAATTTTTTTATCCTAAATGCAAAATATTTAATCATTGACAAAAGTATAAAGAAGTACAGAAATCACCTCCTAACTCATGAGATTACTGCAATACTTACAGATATTGTAATGGTGATAATTTAAAAAGATATGAATTTTCAACAGTTGTCAGAGGATTGCGACTGAGAATTCTGAAAAATACAATGGTTAAATTATCTGCATTTTTTTCTTTTTTTAAAAAGAATTCTTTAAATAATGACTTTGTATTTAACTTTATTTATTTATTATTTTTAATTTGACCAGAGGGGGGGAATGAGAAAGACACAGAAAGAGGGAAAGTGAAGCCACCAGGCCTGGGACTTGAACCACGATTGGCCACGTGGGAGTCCACTGCCTCTAACCACCATGCCATCTGCCAGCCTCTTTTTAAGAGATTTTTGCTATAGGGCATGTGTGTTTTCCAGAGAGACAGAGAGATACAGAGACAGCACTAAATCACCTCCCCAGGGAGAATGGCCATGCTGCAATCCCTTTTCCTCCAATCTCCTGTTGGGATTTTGGGCATGCATATACATGCGTCCAGCACAAGTTTTAAGCCTCCAGGTGCGGGACTCAAACCATAGTCAACCAGTAGGGGGTCCAGCAACATAACCATTATGCCATCTGCATTTTCAATATGCGTGATATTGCATGAAAAAATTATGTTCGTTTTTGGGGTATAGAATTTGTAGGTTAAAACACACACAAACACAAACACATTCACATAGAAACAAAATTTTTTTTCTGTTGTAGTTATAAATCACCCTTAGAATCCAGAAAGCATTCTACCTTTGGAAACTACCCAGATCTCTAAAAGCTGAAGTGGAAAACAGAAAGAGAAAAAAGCAATAGGAAAAAAAAAGTGGATAGCAAAGAAAAATATGCTAAAGAACTTTTCAGGTTCACCCTAGAAATAACTATGGTGGTAGGAGTCCTTGCTCTGTAGGAACCACTATTTCCAGTGTCCTCCCTAATTCAAATGCCTGTCTTTCATCTTTCGAAAATTGTAAAAATTGATGATTTAAACTACTCAGTTAGGAAACAGGACCAGTTATTAGGCTTTGGAGCCAAAGAGAAAGGGGTAAATCTAAAGGAAGAGCCAGCCTAAACTGTACTTCCTCCCATCACATATTCTCATTTGTGTTCTTGTACCACGTCACAGCCTTGGTTACACTGACATAATCACCTGCTTACTTGTCAGTCTCCTGGACTGTCAGCTCCTTGAGTGCAGGGACTACACCTGAATGTCAAGGTCATCCCCATGCCTGACAGAGTGCTTGAAATTTACTAGGTATTTAATAAATGTTTGTTGAATAAACATTTTGTTTACATAGCAATTAAAGGAATAAATTCATTTTTGGATGAAAATCTATTCCAAAATCCCAAAATAGATTTTCTTTTTCAATTCTTTAAAGTAAGTAAGCAAAAAAAAAAAAGAGAAACAAGGAAAAAAAGAAAATCTGTCTTTGGATTAACTTAAGAATTATTAACACACTTTTGTACAATATTATAAAGATAATCATTAGCATTGGTATCTGTTGGGATACCAGGCCTCTATAATCAGCATTTCACATTTAACTCGTAGAATAACCTTATATGGTAGCTATTATTCCATTTTACAAATGAGGAAACTGAGGCAAAGCAGTTATGTGACCTGTTCTAGGTTGCCAAGCTAATGAGGGGCAAAGCTGGAATTTGAACTCAGTTCTAACTCCAAAATCTGTGTTGAACCTATAGAGAGAAAAGGGATTTTATTAATCTATTTATTTATTTTAATCAATCAGTGTAACTTATATATTAATTTTTAAGAAGAATTATTTTATTTCACTTTATTTATTTATTTTAATTTGACCAGAGAGGCACAGAGTGAGAGAGGGAGGAACAGTGAGAAAGCGAGTCACCAGGTCCAGGACTCGAACTGTGGTCAGTCACGTAGGAGTCCAGCGTCCTTAACCACCATGCCATCTGCAGGCCTCTATTTATTTATTTATTTTGAAAGAGGTTTGCTATAGGGAGCATGTGCTCACCAGAGAGACAGAAAACGAGAAATAACCTCCAGGGAGCATGGCCATGCCGCAATCCCTTCTTCTCCATTCTCCTCTCAGGATTTTGGGCACACATGCACACGTACCCAGTGTTGAGTTTTAAGCCATCTACCCAGTGTTGGGTTTCAAGCCGTTGGGTCTGAGTTGAACTGCAGTTGACTACATGGGAGTCCAGCAATATAACCATTTCACCTTCTGCTAGTCCCCAAAGGGATTTTAAATAGCTTTTACTCTGACCTTAATAGTGAGAGGAATATAGAAACACCTTTTCAAATTTTACTCATCTGGAGAGCCTCTGTGATCATTATAGTTCTCATTTTATTGCTTTTCGCCAATTACTGCCCATGATTAAATATTTAATTAGCCTCTGGTGTTGAGACTTCAGAGATTAAAAAACATGTTATAGGTGACATCAGTGAAAATGGTAAAGAAAGACATCTGAAAACTAACTCCTCCAAAAACATACAATAAAAACAAAAAGGCAAAAATGATCAGAGTGACATTTTTAGAACTCTGGAAATTTAATCAAAGGTTTGCAGCAATTCAAGGAGTATAAAGACATCTGAAAACTAACTCCTCCAAAAACATACAATAAAAACAAAAAGGCAAAAATGATCAGAGTGACATTTTTAGAACTCTGGAAATTTAATCAAAGGTTTGCAGCAATTCAAGGAGTATTTATTCAAGAAACAATGGCTGGATCTCTGTAAGAATGGTGAGATCTGTGTTGTTTTAACTTGCCCTAGACTAGTCTTTACTCCTCTGCTCTGTGGTAGCCTTGAGGAATAGCCCATGCCCACAGCACAGAGGGAGCAGAAGGGAGCTGGTTCTCCTTCAAAGCCTCCTTCCCAGGGAACAGTAGTTATTTGACCTGTCTGCTGGTTCCCGGAAACACCTCCCTTGAAAGGTTTGTCTTTATTTGACCTCAGTGAGACCTGTCTAGGTCTAAAAGTCTTCCCAGAGGGAGTTTTTGGAGAACAATTACAGGCAAGCATTTTAACATGGAAGCTGTGTGAAGCAATGAATAATAATAGTTGGGGGAAAATGAAATTCACAGGAAAAGCAGAGTAACATGATGCTCATAGGAACTTTGAAA